TATATATATATATACAAATTATTAATCTATGAAAATTATAATATTCAATTTTTATTACCTTTACGTAAGTCCGTTCAGTCTCAATCAGTTCTAAAATCACTTTCTTCAGCTTCTCAGCGTCGCTTAGCTGCCGGCTTGGTGTGAGAGCCTGTGAGTGGGAACTGACTACACTTCCGGTGGGACTTGACTTTCTGGTCTCACCTGGAGAACGACAAATTACCGTCACTTGCTCGGCAGTTTTCAAAAGATTCTCGATCTCGAAAGAATTTGTGCGCGAGCTTTGCTTGTTATCTGCGTGGCTGGCTGACGAGCATTCTTGCATAATGTTCTCCTTGCCTGCATAATAAAATTCGCGTTATATTAAGATATGCCATAATGTACAAAAGTTCGTGATATAATAATTATATTAATTATATTAATTAATAATATAATTTTTTCTATATAATTTATTGATTTTGTGATTTTCGTTGTATTAAGAGTAACGCATAATTATTATTTATGATAATTTATGATAATTTATTATTCAGAAACAATATATAATTTGAAATAAAACTTTTTATAAAAATAATAATAACAAGCGAAAACATTTTTTAATTAATTATTACGTTACACGGATTTAATTTTTACTGTGTCAGAAAATCAACTTTCCAATAATAATCTAAAACAATTTTCGTTATTTCACTGTCGCTATATTTCAGTAAAATATAAATTGCCGCACTTGGCAATAAAAAAATTAATCGCGTGCCTTGATGTATTTTGTTTCAAAAGCAACGTATTTTCTTCAGCGTAATTTACTTTTATGATTTACATGTCTCATTAATTTAATGGGTTCATCTTTAGAAGTAGTATAATCTTCAGTAATAGCAGTAATAAAAATAGCCCTTAATGCAACAATTTCTTGGAGAATAGAACGAAAGGACTCACTCCATCCGGGTGCCGGCACAATCAGACCGGAAATCATTTCTTCGCTGATTACTGGTGGGTCAGTAGGCGGCGGCGGACAGACCAGGCTCTCAATTATGTCATCGGTAACTCGCATAATACCTGTGAGATCTGGTGGCTCCGTTCTGGAGGATCGCATCATCATACAGAGACCCACCTCCTCCTGTAAAACACTCTCCAAGTACATCATATCCAGGTCACTCACGATGGCGCCGTTGATTACCATAATCTCGTCGCCTTTAATGATTCCTGAAATCAGAGTCGCCATGTGAAAATTTATCCTCTCTAAAGAGGATTTATGTTGTGGAAAAGAATATTTGCAGCTTAAAATTTTCATTAATAATAAAATATTTATATATCGTTGGCTGACAACGTTCGAAGATTAGCGGAATTGTATAATCAGTCTTCATCGTTGACAAGAACAACTTTACTTTATAGACAATCGTCCAAGTATTTTTATCACCAACACTCATAAACTTAGGAAAACTTTGCAATGCAATAAAAACATTAATTATAGCGACTACTGTATCTTTTAAATAGTGTAAGTATCTTTTATTCCGACTAACATTTTTCGCGGCTGCCTCACGATGTGCCTGCGAAGATGATCCAACCGCTCAGCTCGGTATCTTTCGCAACTATAATAAGTCGCTCCCTTCGGTCGTGTTTAACGAGCAAGCTGCCCGATAAATTTAGACAGGATTTACGGAAAGGCGGCGCTAAATGTCATTCTGATTTGTTCGCGCCTGCGGCCCTAAGATCGTCCCACCCCCGGCGTATGCACATATATGCAATATATACATATATTTTTATTCTATACATATTTCTTTTTTTACACGTATTATACGCGCTTCATTTAACCATAAGCACGAGACTCTGTTCAACGAGCAAGCGATGATGCGCGGAAAATCGATGATTTTTCAATGGCGTCCTTGCACATCTTGGCGCTGACGCGGTCTAAGAAAATTAATACAATCGAACCTTGACATAAGTCATCTTCTAAGATCCGCAAAAATCGAGAGTGAATAAGCGAGGTAATCTTCTACAACACGACATCATTTTCATTCCTTCGGAATCGTTTGATACATTAATGTAACACAATTCTATCCAGATTAATTTCACAATTTGTTAATTTCTCTTTACTCTTTCAATTCTTCTAATAAAAAAATAAATACTAATTCTAAAGCTATAGTAGTAAAGCTATATAAACTTTATAATTAATTAAATTAAATTTTTATTATTATTATTTTTTTTTAATTTTATTATTTCAAAATTTTATAACGTAAAGTTAATCAAATAATAAAAGATCAACAATGCTTAGATATAAAAGAGGCTGACAATAAGAAAAAATGATCGCTAATAAAGAGGAGAAATAAAAAGACCTTGTAACGATCGAAACTTCTAATCGTTGCGCTCGAGGGACGTTTATTTTAGATAGATGTTGTCCTAGATAAGGGGTGCTTACCGTTTTGCATGGCGACACTCTTGTCTTCCACTCTACTAACGTAGCAGCAGAGCTCATCCTGCCTATCGGAGTTTTCTATGAGCTCCGCCTCGACGGAGAAGCCCCACATTTGTTCTAAAGTGTTTCTTTGCAATTCCACTTGATATAAAATCTTGGCACAGACTTCCACGATTTCATGCGTATGCAACTGCGTGCAGCAAAAAAAGTTACATCAAATTTTCATTATAAGAAATCATCACTAGAAGTCGCAATAACTTTATTCATTTTATAAAGTACTTGATTATTTAAGAAATGGAAAACAATCTTTTTTAACGCAAATATTTCCATTTTCTATTTGATTAATCTAATTACACAATTATTTGAGAAATAATGTTTTATATTCCAAAGAAGTTTCTAACTTTTTTATTTGTATATTAAATTGTATTAAAAAAAATGGGCGTTCTTAAGAACTTTTAGAACTTTTGTTCATTTATATCCAAGTAATTGTGATATTTTTAATTATTTTTATTATTTTTAGTGCACATTTTACTTTAAACCTTCCGTAATCGTTTTTTCCTCAAAACTCAGTTTAAACTTGCCAATTTCGATCCGTCAAACTTACATAGGTTTCTATCAAATCAGTCCTATGTGGCACAAAGTAATTATGGTCCTCCATATCCCGGCGCTTTTTGACGCGCACGAAGTGCTCCATCGGATTGAGATTCTTTCTGGTGCATGCGCTCGCTAGGAACTCTTCCACGGTCATAGCGTCACGCAGAAACACCGAGACCAGCTGAAACAACAAACAGGAAACACCGGGTCGTGCTCGTCTTATCCTTATTATACTCTAAGCGTAACGGAAGCATAGAATGTCGATTAACTACTCACCCGGTGTCCTGACGATCGTACCTGATTTTCCGGCACGGACACCTTCACGCTCTTCTCCTCGTCCCTGGACGAGATCTGCAGCGAGCGCCTACTGGAGCCGCTATTCGATCTCGACAGCAGAGGCGGTCGTCTCTTCGTCGCTCCGCGACCCGCCAATAAATTATTCAGTAGAGACGGGCTACGCGCGCAGATAAACGCGTGGAAGGATGACACCGTGAACACGCCCAATTTGTTTAACGTTTGCTTTGTGGCGCGAGACACATGCGTCAGTAGACTCTGAGGTAGAAACGTGAATATTGCTCATTTAATCTTGGATCAAGCTACTCACTTATCATAATAAGTTATCGCCTTCGAAAAGAAAAAGAATTCTTGGATTTTTATAGATTTAACACATTTCATTCCGCGTGAATCACCGATAACTCGCAGTAAACTTTCATTTAGGCCATTTGACATATTGATTATAAAAAGAAATGTAATTATAAATTATTTTTTATATCATACGTGAAGACATAGTTATGATATATAATACTATAATGATACATTACACCTTCTTCTTTATAATAACTTTTCTATTTTTTTTAATCATTATGAAATAAATGTTATTTAACAAATGCAAACAAAACTGTGAGTAATCAACAGCGTTGTGATCAAGTCACTTAATTGGCTCCGCACGGAACGTGTTAAGAGATTTCTCACAGATAACATAGAATGGTTATTCGGAGAAATGTGCTTTCTTGCAAGAAGAACTATTAAAAAATGATATTATAGGTTTAAGAGACTTTTCAAATAATGTAAAGAGATTCAAAAGCGCTGGTTGTCATTCGGAAATATATCCTCTTTAAAAAAAAAGCCATAAAAAGAATAAACTGTCCTTCCATAAAATATTGTCTATTCCAATACAATTTGCAGTTGCTGATTATGAATTATCACTGTCAATGAAATCGCTTTACGATCGTGAAAACGTTAATTTATCGGATATTGCCTGGCCACCTGGTTTTCCCTCTTTCTCTCTCCCTCTTGACGATCGATATCACTCATAACGAATGGTGCAAATTAGATGAGTGCGACGCAGATGGACCTCTAACGAATCCTGATTGCGTATATGCTGCGGGAAACGAAAGAGATGATTTTTTTTTTTCAAGCAATTGCAGCAACCCACGCAGAGAGATTGCAGCGCGTAATATTGTTTTTCAGTGAGAAGTCGAGAGAGAGAACCAGCTTTTGCGCGAAAACGGCAAAAGTTTACAACCAGATCACAGCGTTCTGTTCGATTGCGATTGGAATTGAACGTAATATGTCCGTTCCGCATCGTAGCATTGGATAACGAATGACGAGAACTCGCGTATATGCGCGGAAAGAACGATTTGTTGAAGTATTAAAAAATTTAACCTAGCCAGAAATGATTGGTTGAATTGACATCGATTTAACGTCGATATGACATTAAATCGCATCAATTCGAAGATAATCGATCAATCATTCCTTGCTGGGAAAATAGATCTGAGAATAATCTTGTTTGCAAAATAATTACAAAGTATGACGTTCAAAGCATAATAAAAAGTAGAACGCTCAAACTAATTGTTAAAATGTCAAAGTTGTTTACAACGCATTGCTTATCAAGTTTGTGACTTTTCTACTTATAATTTTATATTTTGATGGTACAATGAAATTATTTTCAGATCTGTATTTAACTAAATTTATAGATATTTCAATAAATTTGTTCTTTCCATATATATGGGCAAGAATTAATTCGACAATTCTCTGAATTCTTTTTTGCGAGGAACACTTGCATGAAAGCGAATATATTTAAACTGTGCAAGCTAATATATTTAAATCGGAAAAAATATATCGCGAATGAAGAATATTTATGAAATATTGATTTTCATATAGATTCATTAATTTATTCACAAAATTGTGAGAGAAATATAACGAGGCATATATATATTCTTACGGAATATAAATATTCAAAGTATTTTCTATTATTATAAATATTGATGAGTGCAACATTTTCAAATACAATTATATGCAAGAAAATATTATTGTATTACAATAAAAAAAAATTATTGAATAATCATAGCATGTATGTGTATATTTTAGAAATGTAAAATGTGAAAGATGTAAAATACGAGATTTGTAAATATGAGAGATATAAAATGTGAGATTTTTCTTTATCAAAGTAATCGTACCCAGGTAACATGCATGTTGCATAAGATATCTAAAAGATATCTTTTAGATATCTTTTAGACATAAGACATCTAAAAGACGTCTCCATCTTATGCAACATAAATGTTATTTGGATATCTAGTACAAGTTGGTATAATAATGCAGTACCTTTGATACCAGTTTAAAACGTTAATATTCTATATTGCATTCGGAGCTGACGTTTCAATGAAGTTCGTGCTTACCTTCGGATTGGGCAGTTCGCCACTTTGCAAACTGGCCATGTAGCACCGCAGGCGAAATTGCTCGCAGTGGAGCCGCTCCAGATTCTCCTCCCATTGTACTATTTGATTGTTGATCTGCTGTTTGGTGTCGACATCAGAAACCACTGATTGCTGAAGATCCGCCATATGCTTCATCTTGTGGTCCTACAAATAATCAATATGATTATTGACCTACTTTTCTCTCTCTCTCTCTCTCTCTCTCTCTCTCTCTCTCTCTCTCTCCTTTCTTTTTATTAAAAATTATATCAAGTTTTAAAATAAAAGCAACATGATAAAAAAGAAACATAAATGGTTATAATTAAAAATATTTAATCTGTCTTATAAACTTGTAAAACTTGTAAAAACTTTCTTTAATAAATTGATAATAAGTTGACAATAAAAAAATTGCAAGATTTTCTCCCACATTCAATAAATAGTTCTTTTCTTTCATAAACTTCTTTTTATCACTTTTCTCTAAACTTTTGATGCTTCTATAGAATAAGCTGAGTTTGACAGAATTACATCAGTCAATTTTTTCTATGTACCGATTCGATCGCCTTTTCCAGACGGAAAATCTCCTCCTGCAGCAGGTGCAGCGTGCCGGTTTTGCCACGATGACGCGCGAACGCGGCGGCGCACGCCGAGTGAATACTATTCACCCAGTTCTCCAGCTCCACTTGACACGGCGCCTAAACACAAAACGAACACCATGTTTTCTTCACTGAATCAGAATTCGGACCTTCGATTCCTCTCCGGCCTCGGCAAATTTCGCCCAGCTAATCGATCGTCGCTCGCGATGTCGCTCACGCTTCCAAGTGATTTAAAGTCGTGGCAAGCTTTAAAGTAGCGGCAGTGGACTATTAAAAGTTCGCCGTGTTGCGTGACCCGGGAATGAGTTCGTGAGACGGTTAATTAAATACACCTAGTTAGCAATTCGCGCGGTTAATGCACTCCCGAAAGCTACTAAAGTGCGGAGATCAAACTGAGGCGGCATAATTGTTCGCTTTGACTTTCCAATAATTTACCGTGTATAATCTCTATAGACTCTCTACGACAGTCTTACTTGGCAAGTTTAATTGGCATACTATCTACAATAATATTCGACGGGGAGGAGGGGAGTGATTAAGAAGTTCGTACATAAAAACAGCAAAACTATGTACAAATTGAATTAGGTTGGTTATGTATAAGTCTAGTTTTCATCTTTCATTTTAATTTAATTAGTTCTCTACTATTAAAAATTTAAAAAGTAGAGGATATTTCATTACGGAAAAATCTTTTCAATATATATCTGCGAGTTATAATATTTCCTTTACTATTTATATGTTTCTTTTTACAGATTACGGCAAAGTCGCGTTAAAATTTTGTTACCTGGAACAGATAGGCGTCCCCAAATGCGGTGCTCAAGCAAAATATGTAATCTTTCTTTGGATGTTCGGGAATCGGCTGCATGATCGCACCGTCGACGATGATCAGATGTTTAGGTGCTGCCTCCATGGCCCTACTCTCCTGTGAATCGCAGGGATAGAAGAGGAGAGTGGTGCCCTTCAAACAGACCCAATAACCCCTCCAGCCTCTCTTTTTAGCTAGCTCGATCTGATGCTTCTTGCGCAACAACCATTTCTTCACGCTGAGAAATCTAGAAATTCCGAAGCATTGTCATCTTTTTTATTTTTCTTATATTTAAATTTATTAAAATTATATTACATTAAAAAAACAACTTTATATATTATATTATATTGTTGTCTCTATTATTTTCGTTTGTCCCATCAAATTACATTTATTATGAGATTACCGGATTTTTAATCGAATAATATCATAATAATAAATGTTTATTATGTAAAAATTTTCATCGTTTATTCGTATGTATATTCATATTTATGTTAATTTGAATCAATTTATAAACGAAAGGAGATAATTTTTGTATAAATATCTGTCATTATCTTAATATTCTCCGATCTGATATTCTAGAAACTGAACAAAAAACGGACTTAGATTGATGTCCGTTTGTGGCCTTCATATATCTGTGTCATGTTATGCGAGATATCTATATACAGATTCTCAAGGCTCATTATTTTTAAAAAATAAACAAGTATGAGAGACGTACCCTGCCTTCCGAACTGCACCGGTGCAATTGAACGAAGCTGCAGCCGTGCCGGTCTGCTTCCGATAGGGCGAATTTATAGCACTCTCGCCGTCGTCGTCATCGCTGACGGCAGTGGTGAGGGACATTCTATCATCGTCCGACATCTGGAAAATACGTTAGATTTTACTTTAGCTGCGATAAGTGCGCTTATCATTGTGAAAATCGAGACAAATACGAACGACTCCGCGTCAAATTTATAATCAATTATTTCTCGTTCTTTTTAAATTTTTTTTACATTTGCACTTTATAAGAAAATATAAATTTATAAAATTTTAATGTTATATTTTCGACATTCCTTACAAAAATCTGATTTAATATTGCTAATTTAATACTAAAAGTTACTATTTTGAATATTAAAAACAGTAAATATATATAATAGTGTTTTTAATATAAAATAAGTATAATTATTAATCATTATCTAATAATAAACTTCTATAAAGAATAGAATCGTCCGTATATATGTAATATGAAAAAGAAATATATGTCATGTATAAAAGACAAAAAATGTGCATAGAAAAAATGTAATGTGCGATCGTGAAATAAGGTGATATTGATAAAGGATTATGATTAAATATATGCAGAGATAAGATCTAGAGATTACTGACAATGATAGGATGCTTTATATATACATTCATCGAGAATTCTTTTTCTATCTAAAAGTGCAATTAGGAATTCCAAATATAGGGACTGTGTTTTATATATATGTATATATAATACTATTTACATTATATTTATTTTAATTTAATTTAATTTAATTTACTGATTTATTAAAAATGTTATATTTTCTCAAATATTATTATTATTATTATCGCACAATGCAATTTACTGAAATTATATAATTAAAATTATTTGATTAAAGTTATTTGTTTATCATAAAAAAGTCGAATAGAAGTCAAGACGATTGTTTATCATAATTGTTATTTAAATAATTTAATTCGTAATCTAATTGTTATTTCATTTCGGTTATTTGATTGAATTTTTATTATACAATTTATTATGCAATTTTCGCAATAGTTAACAAGATATTAATTGCTAAAAATTGCTGAAAATTGATCTTTAATAATTTTTTACTCAAATACTATTACTTTACAGAAAAACTGCAAAAAATGAAAATTGTTTGCCTTCTCATAAAGCTCTAAGAATGTTTTTAGAATTTTTTCAGAATTTTTTTTAGAATTTTTTAATACCATATTTTCTCCATGTTAATAAAAATAAGAAAATGCAGTACTAAAAAGTTGATAAAAAATTCTGAAAAAATTCGTAGAATTCTATGAGAAGGAAATAAACAATTTTTGTCTCTTTCGATATTTCTGTAAAATTGATAGTATTTTAATAAAAAATTATTAAAGACCAATTTTCGACAATTTTTAGCAATTAATATTGCTAAAAATTGTTAATTACTGCGAAAATTGCAAAATGGTAAAAGACTTTCCGTCTCAGTTTAGTTCGCTCTACATATCCACGAATTCCGTTAGAATAATTATCGGACCCTATATATATATATAAAACTTAAATCTTTTTTAAATTAAATACGGATAAATATAGATATCAATTATTAATTATTAATCAATATTATTATAATTATGTCAGGCTATAAATAAAAGGATATCAAATTAAGAAGGATGACATTCGCATTACCAACAATTTGCAGTGGAGATGCAAAGAGTTCTTATAGCTTTATTTAGCGCATGCTACTCGAAGATGGCAACTAGTATCGATGCAACTTTAGCGAGGCTCGCTTACAAGCCCTTTTAATTGCACAAGAATATCATTTTCATGAACTATCGTAGGCGTTACATGCCAAATACTCTACTTTACTCGCGTTACAATAAAAGACAGCCGCGTCGCAAATGCAAAGTGCTAATAATAATTCCACTGCTTTCGCTGTCCATCCCCTCGTTATTTTCGCTCATTTATCGCGTTCAAGATTTTTTATTAATTCCTATCGCGAATGTAACGCTTTTGGAGTAACGTATAATTTTTTTCTAGTTTGTACATATATAATTATTGTGATGGCGAGATGAAAATGAGATGCAATATCGAGTGCGAGAATGAGTGCGAGTAGTCAGGGGGTCGACGAACGAAAGTCCAACGGAAACGGCGTAGTCGGTGGACTGGTGTCCTTTCTACTCTCTCGCTTCTCTGGCCGAAGCACATGCCAATAATACGAGCGATATCCTGATGCGATCGTCGCAATACCGGGGAAAATATCTATATCTATATATATATATTAATATATATATATCTGGGGACATATACAATATCGAGAAACATTCCTTCCAGAAGAGATATAAAGAGATTCGCGATTCGTGTCCTCTACCTTTTTCGTAATATTCATCATGCCGCGGAGCCTCTCGCGTATCCCCCTGAGGCTCTCGTCGGCCCAGAAACTTACGACTCTTCTGAGAAAATCGGCGTTGCACGCGTCCGCCGTCATATGCGGATGGTAGTGGCAGTAACAGCCCTCCTTTAACAGCTTCATGTTGTTCTCCGCGCTGCCGTTGATCCTCAACATAATCTCGCGACGTGCCACGCTCAGGCCGTCGATGTAGCGTTGCGCCCAGGCGTTGAGCGCACCGTTCACCAGCCGCAGTAATTTGTGATAGTATCCCTCGCCCGAGCCGTAAGTCACCTTTTCCTGCACGTTACGGCAGTTGAACCAGTACAGCTTGCGCGACTCGTTAATGCATATCACGCTGATCGTATGCCTGCGACACCAGCAAAAATATTTCCAACAACGTCGTCGATGCTGCGTCTTCAGATCTATGTAATCGTCGCTCGGATCCAGCAAGTCCAGAGTGCTATTCGTACACTTGATCGACCATCTCGGCTCTACCATCATTCGTCGTTCGCAATCGGCGGTGAATGAACGAGGAAGAGACGCGGAACCCGCGGTGGTGTTTAGAAGAGGGATGACCGTCGGACGGAATCCTCAGATTTCCGATCGTCGCCAGTCACGGCGTCTCGTTCCTCCTCCGGCGGTGTCATTATTGTCTCGCGGATGGCAGAAGAAAACATTCACGTGGAAGGCTCGATGAGATATTCTCGTACGATCGATTGTCGCGATGCGTAAGCTCGGTGGTGTCGAGAATCGCTTTGTATTTCCGCGATCTTAATGAACCTCGAAGTTCAAGTCGATGTCTTCGTTAAAGTTCTCTTTTGCAATTAAATATTGTATACGCGCCAGCTGCTCACCGGAATTATAGCTCGCAAAATCCAATACTCAATCGGTACGCCGATCATAAATGTGCACGACGAATAAAATGTAAACAACCGGTATACATTCCGAAAGTTGATTGAGTTCATCAGGTCTACTCGAATTCGTCGAGTTTATGATGAATTTATATATTCAAAGAATTCGAAATTTCCTCGAATTTTTCAATAAAGTCCTCTGTTTTAAGGCAAACGTCTTTTGCACTGTTAAAATCAATCACGACTTAGAGAGAGACTCCCTAACGTTAACTTTGTGACTACGTGCGATCTAACTATCTCGAGAATTCAAAGGGTGGGCTATGACGCACGAAGAACGCGGCAAAAGATCCGCCGCGGGTGTTCGCAGGTACTTATACGCAGAGGAATTCCTGCACTAGAATTCACATGAATTCCTCCCTTAAGTAAGAAGGGCGCAGCGGGAGGTATCGTCGTCCTCGACGGCCGGACGATCGTGAACGACGCCACTCCAACTCTCGTCTTCACGACGGGGGATGATTGATAATATATATAGAATATTTTCTATCTCTCTCTCTTTCTCTTTTCTTTATATAATAGAAACGAACTATCCATAGAAAAATACTCTCTCGTTCTGTATTTAGGTATACATATAGATATTCTCTCTGAATGTTGATCCTTGCTCCTCTCCAGCTGATTTCCCTCCTTTTCCACACATTGCTATAGGTATCCTCTCAAAGCATCGATTTTCTCCTCTCTCGCGGAAAAATGCGCTGTAAACCATCGTACACTCCCTCAACCGCTCCTTATCTAACCTTCAATTTCATTTTAAATATATTATTTCAATCTTTAACTGATCACTTCTCGGATACTACTCTCGAATAAACTCTGACACCTTATCTGATCTCTGCTCCCCTTTTCGGATATATCTTCTTTCACGCAATCTATCTAGTAAAGTCTCTCCCCTCGCGTAGCTTTTATATCGATAAGCTGAAGTCAGTCATTCGCCGATCGACCTATATTCTCCGGAAGTTATTCCACGACGGAAATCAGCCTGATCATTGACGCGAGGGGAGAAGAGGTTCCAGGTACCCAGTGACGATGTTGCCATCGTCGAGACGCGCCGGCACGTAGCGACCGCTTCTCGTCGATCTCGCACGTGCGACCGCAAATTCGGTACGCGCGAGTTCCTGAAGGAGCGATCAGCGGCGCGCTGCAGCTTAATTTCCGATCCGCATAATGCGAAGATTCGTCGTCAAAACCCAACGTCCTGCGAGAATCCTTCTTTCGCTTTTGGGAATTGGTTTCAATTCTTCGAGAGAACTTCTGGAGAACTTCTCTGGTGTTACTCTCCCTGTCGAGTTCAACCGGAAGTCCCGAGTGATAGCTGCACTTTCAGCCCGTGTCAATGCGGAGAATCCCTTGAGGATTTTGTCATCACTTCAAGATGACGCGCCATCGTGAAACGTTTACAATCTCGCACTTGATGATCGCACAAAAGAATGGAAGTCTTCACGAGAATACTCTCTCCTTCTCCCTCTCTCTCTCTCTCTCTCTCTCTCTCTCTCTCTCTCTGCGGGGGCGGTGGATTCGTTGCCGAAGACGGATCAGATGTGATTTACGTGATCGGAACTGTCGTTTACACGAGAACGCGCGTCCTCATCGCGTTCTCCAGCGGGCTATCGAGAGTCGTTGGCGCCGCTGCCGACGTGTCCGGGGACGTGTACCGCGCGCGGCTCGGCGACTTCCGGCGCCCGCGCATCGGCGCATCAGCGGGCGCCGCACTCTCCAAGCGCGTCCCGGTAGCGGGTGCGAGCCGCGGTGGAGGGAGAAGAAGCTGCGTCGTGCCTGCGTCGCGTTCTCCACGAGGTCGCTCGCTCGTCCTCGAGCTACTAATGCGTAGTCGTTAATACGCGCCCGTCGATCGATGGGCCCT